TGGGCCTTAATCCTATCTATCCCCTTGTATTATCTTCCTACCAATCACTCACAAGGAAACTTGAGACTTAATCTCGACAACTCCTCTTCCATCACCCCCCATATCCAATTTGTGGTTTGATAGTCTTGTCCTTGAAATAGGTCACATCTGTCACTTCCCCCTGCAGTTCTGTAGTGATTGTATCAGTTTAAGCCTTCATGATCTTTAACCAAGATTTTCAAAAATGACCTTTTAGTGGTTTTCCTTCTGCCAGCCTTTCTCTCTTCCTAACTACACTGTGGACAAAGGGATTTCCTGAAACGCCAGTAGATCATATAAGAGACAGTAAAATGCAGAAGTAAAGCACAAAAGCTTCAGCTTAGGATGAATCTAAGTTCAAATCCTGACTCTGCCTCTTATTAACTGTATAACTATGGATAATCCCTTAATATTTCTTTTTTTTTTTTTTTAAGATTTTATTTATTTATTTGTCAGAGAGAGAGGAGCGAGAGTGAGCACAGGCAGACAGAGTGGCAGGCAGAGGCAGAGGGAGAAGCAGGCTCCCTGCCAAGCAAGGAGCCCGATGTGGGACTCGATCCCAGGATACCGGGATCATGACCCGAGCTGAAGGCAGCTGCTTAACCAACTGAGCCACCCAGGCGTCCCAATCCCTTAATATTTCTAAGTCTCAGTTACTTCATTTGAAAAATGAAGATTGATAATTGTATCTACCACAAAGAAACATTGTGAAGATTAAATGAAATAATAAACACAGGTTAATTGGTGGAAGATATATGGTCAAAATGTGTTTTCTGACTCTTTTTTTTATTAATTATTGTTATTTCTCAAGTAGGCTCATACCCAGCATGGAGCCCAATGTGGGGCTTGAACTCACAACCCTGAGATCAAGACCTGAGCTGAAATCAAGAGTCAGACACTTAACTGACTGAGCCACCCAGGTGCCCCTTTTATTATTTCACATTGTTCCTGAAAATCTTCAGTGGTTCCCCAGTGTTATAATGATTACATGCAAAACCCTTAACATTGTATGCTTGTGCCTCAGTTTCCTCCCTGTCTCTTGGCAGGCACCATTTCCAATTCTATCCTTCCATCTCAACCATACTGAAGTAATTGCAATTCCACAAGTGGGTCATGAATTCTTGAAAATAGTACATTTATGAAAAAGGGCTTGGGCTCTGAAATAGCTTGGTATATAAACCTTCGAATTTGGAGGATGGGGAATACCAATGGGATAAGAGTATGAAGTAACTAGGGTGATCCCATAAATTTGAGGAAATTTGTTTTCTCTGCAGTGTTCCACAGTCATATGGAAATCTATTCAAGAAGTTCTCAAATTAATTCTTTTGGTGGGGAGAGTGGACAATTTTCTAAAAGTGCATTACACCATTTGTGTGGATACTCTTGATAACCCACTAGAGACTTATGTGAGTTATCTAAAAATCTACATGAGTAGTCTAAACAGTTCTGTAGGGACACCTGGGTGGCTCAGTTGGTTGAGCGTCTGCCTTTAGATCAGGTCATGTTCCCAGGGTCATGGGATCAAAGCCGGAATTGGGAATCCTTGCTCAGTGGGGAGCCTGCTTCTCCCTCTCCCTCTGCCTGCCACTCTCCCTGCTTTGGGCTCCCTCTCTCTGACAAATAAGTAAATAAAATCTTTCAAAAAAAAAAAAACACCCAAAAACAGTTCTGAGAAGAGATCTGCTTCTGTCCTCAGTTATAGAATTGCTTGAAAACCATCTCATCATTAGAAATTGTCTCATTTTGTTTTCTTCATAGCCCCCATTACTATCTGAAATTACCTTATTGCCCATTAGAATATAAACAGAGACCTTGTCTTTCTTGTTCACTATACATATGCCACTGCCCACTATAATATCAGGTTAGGTTTTCAAAAACTGAAGCCACACAACTAGTAAGAAGAGATACAACTAGAACCGAGGTCTGTCTGAACTTACCCACTAAACTTGGTGTCCTTGAGTACCCAAGAAATATTTGTTGAAACAATAAATGAAGAGTCAATGAATTTTTTAAAGATTTATTTATTTATTTGAGTGAGAGAGAGAGAGAAGAAAAGGAAAGAGAGAATCTCAAGCAGACTCCATGCTGAGCATAGAGCCTGGCGTGGGGCTCGATCCCATGACCCTGAGATCATGACCTGAGCCAAAACCAAAAGTCAGACATGCAACTGACTGAGCTACTCTCAATGAATGTTTTTAAATGGAGAATATAGGGATCAAAGTGGTGTTTTAAAAAGATTTAATCTGGCAGTATTTTGCAAAATGGTTTGGAGGCAGGGAAAATAATTAAGAATCTATTGTAGTCATCTGAATTTGAGGAGACTAATAACTTACCAGAATTACATTAGTTTCTAGTAGCCAAAAAACCTGACTGATCAGTAACTAAAGCAAATTCTTCTTATATACAGTTAACCCTTGAACAACATGAATTTGAACTGCCCATGTCCACTTACACACAGATTTTTTTGATAGAATGTGTACTGTACTTGTATTTTCTCTTCTTTATGATTTTCTCTCCTCTAGCTTACTCTATTGTAAAAATACAATAAATATACATATACAACATATGTATAATACATATAACATACAAAATATTTGTTAATCTACTGTTTACGTCATCAGTAAGTCTTCCGGTCAGCAGTGGGCAATTAGTAGTTAAGTTCTGGGGAAGTCAAAAGTTCATGTGTCTTTTTGACCATTAAAGGGGTGGGAAGAATTGTATCAGTGCCCCTAACTCCAGAGCTGTCTGGGGGTCAACTGTGTTCAGAATTCTGCAGGTGGGCAGTCCAGAGCTAATATGGTGACTTCAGGGGTCATCAGGGACCCTGGCTCTTTCTTTCTGCTCAAGCATTCTTCACATGTGGCTTTTGTCCTGTTTGTCACTTGCATCACAGCAATGACTGATTTGCACCCACTCAGACTTTTTTAATTCCAGACAGGAAGAAAAACATGGGCAAAAGGCAAAACATAAGCCAGCTAAGTTGACCTCTTTTAAATGTTTTTTTTAAGATTTTATTTATTTATTTGACAAAGAGAGACACAGCGAGAGAAGGAACACAAGCAGGGGAAACGGGAGAAGAAGGCTTCCCGCTGAGCAGGGAGCCCCATGCAGGGCCCAATCCCAGGACCCTGGAATCATGACCTGAGCCGAAGGCAGACACTTAACCACTGCGCCACCCAGGGCCCCTAAGTTGACTTCCTTTAAAAGAGCTTTTATAGACAGGCTATCCAACCATCCTATCTATATCCCATTGGCCAGATTGTGCTGCCTGAAGTTTAGCAAATGCAGTTTTCCACTGAGTACATTAGTGTCCAAACAAAAAAAAGGCTTTATTAATAAGAAAAAAAGGGGAAATGACTTTGGAGTAGACAACCACAAAGGGAATGGGAAAATTGGAGGATAATATATAAAGATAAGAATCACTGAAGGAGAAGCCGGATTGGGGAAGGAAATGTTTGGTTTGGATGTATCAGTTTGTAGATACCACTGCGAAATCCAGGTAGCAATGTCATCCAAAAAAGTTGGAAAAGAATGAAAAACTATTTCGGTTCAGTAACAGTGTTGCGATGTGTTCTGATGTCGTTGATTAAAAGGAGGTGATGACCATAAAGCTGGGCAGCAAAATCGGTTTTGCCAACAAAGAGGCTTGCCCCAATTTTTAACAGGAAATGGTAGTAAAAAGATCATTCAGTCTAGGTCCATTCAGTTTATTCCAAATCTGAAGTTCCAACCTCTGCTACTGTCTTTTTTTTTTTCTTTAGATTTTATTGATTTGTTTGTCAGAGAGAGAGCTCAAGCAGGGGTAGCGGCAGGCAGAGGGACAAGCAGGCTCCCCGCTGAGCAAGGAGCCCAGTGCAGGATTCAAGCCAACGGCAGACGACTGAGCCACCCAGGCGTCCCTCTGCTACTGTCTTTAATAAAAACTGTTACAGTGGTGCCTCGGTGGTACAGTCAGTTGAGCATCGAACTCTTGGATTGGGCTGGGGTGGTGAGATGGAGCCTTTCATCTCTGTGTTCAGCGGAGAGTCTGCTTGGGTTTCTCTCCCTCTGCTCCAATCCTTCTCAAATAAACAAATAAATCTTTTCTAAAAATTAAAAAATAAAAACAGGTACAATCGATACATTCTGCTGAATCCAGGAAAAACATTCTTCGCCTAGGAGTAATTAGCACATAATTAGCCATAACAAAGATTCACAATAACATTGTGGAAAGATCACAATATTTTGGTCCAGAGAGCCTCAGCTTTGCCATTTATGAGCAGAATGGCTCTGGGCAGGACATTTCACTTCTCAGAGCCTCAGTTTTCTCACTTGGCAAGCAGGGATAAAGTACTTCTAAGATTGTAGTTAGGATCAAATAGATAACGTCTGGAAAATGCTCTATGTACTATAAAATGTTATGTAAAAGAAAGATACTATTCCTTTTGTAACAATTTACAGAGTAGGGGTAACTGAGCACTCTGATGGCAGCTGACTTTTCTCTAAGATTGGGAGTAAGTTTACTACCTCATTTATTATATAAGTTCCGTCGGGTGAGTTTCTGTTCAATCTAGGGTATTTCTAAAGAAAATGTGTGAGTGCACGCACATGTGTGTGTCCATGTGTGTGTGTTGTGAACTCAATGAATACACCAGTATATTCATCAACTACAGAAAGCTTTTCTCATGACTGAAATCCTGAGAACTTGGACATCCAAGCCTGGAAGATTCCCGTGGTTAAAAAAAAAAAAAAAAAAATCATCACCAGTGGTCAGGTCATGCGAGAAAGCTACACTTGAGGAGAATCCAATCCATTGGAAAATTTAGAAAGTAATGAAGTGCAGTTCCTGACCTAGCACGTATCATCTCTGAAATCCCTGAGTAAAGACTGGAGGCTTCACCTGTTTTGCACCATCAATTGCCTCAACCTATAAATAGGTCTAAAACTCATCCCTTTTTTTAGCAGAGAAGGGTCGGATTACAGGTGCAAAGCAAAATCACAAAATGAGTGTCAGGGTATTCTACTGTCAGACATTCATCCCCACAGCCTGTCTCCTCGCTCCTCCTTCCTCCTGTGCTATCCTAGAATCCAGGACCCCGGCAACAATGCCTCTGTTGAAACTTGCAGGTAGGTGTGCAAAAGCGTTTGGAGAGCTCGATTCTTTTAAATGCAACCCGTTCCTCTAGGTATCTTGTCAGCTTTGACTATCCTTTCTTTAGGGTCAGAGTAGCTTTGATAATACTTTTCAGGAAGAAGCAAGACATGATTTTCAAGAATTTTTTTTTTGTTAGTTTTGGAAGGGAGGTGATTTCCTAGAGCTGTGTCATGTGGTAGCATCTTGGATGATCCCAGGGTCCCCTATGACATCTTTAGCTAGAGGATTTAGCTGACAACCATGAGCATAGTGGAAATATTAACCCAGTCACAATCTAGGTTTGTACACACAGTAATTTTTAGAATAATAATGTCTTTTTCCTTGTGAAAGAAATACATGTCTCCTATGAAATAAGAAAAAGAAATGACACTGAAAATAAAAGTAGTAACACTCATGTAGAGAATGCAGAACATTGAGGAAAGGTAATGCAGGGAACACTCATGTAGAGAATGCAGAACATTCAAGTAAAGGTGTTGCTAAGTGCAGAAGCAAGTAGTAGCAAGAAAAAAAACAATCACCGGCCCATCATCCAAAGATACACTTCACATGTCAATTTATTTTCTATGCAAATTTAAAGAATTTTTAAAAGCATTGTTATGATTATTCCATACATGTCACTTTATAGCCTGCCCCCTTTTTTTTTTTTTTGGCTTAATATTATGACCTAATCATTTACCATGGTTTTTAAAACTATTCCTAACATCATTTTGAATCGCAGTGTAATATTCTAATTTCCTTAACTAATCCTCCAGGTTCTCTACAGTTGGGGTAAGTATAATTATACTCTGAGAACATTATTTGCACCTAAAGCTTTTTCCATTTTTAAGGATGAAAATCAGTAGGATAGATTCTCAGTAATGGCTGTTTGGTAGGTGTTACTAAATTGTTGACCAGATGAGGTGCATGGTTTACCCGCAACCAGTATCGTAAGAGAGTTTCCATTTCTCTAGATCAAATTTCTTTAAAATCACATTTTACGAAGAGTATCTCTTTAAGATTATAAACATAAATTTAAAGAGCCATATTAGAAAGAAAAAGAGAGGAAAAAAGGATGTATACTGGCCATATTCCTAGGGCCTTCTGATGGCACCCAATTGTAGGTAAATCAAGTTCCATCACACCCCCTTCTTGTACAAGTCTACGCGTTTCTTTTCCAAAGCACTGAATAATAGCCACTATCATTTCTGAAAGTTGTTTATATTTTTTAACTTGTTTTATTTTTCTTCAAACAGCTGAAGAAAAACGTGAGTATTTTGGACTATTTTTCCTGCTATTTGCCAAAGAATCAGTTAAAAAATGACACTATTTGTTAATTCAGAAACAAGAGTATTTTTCAGCAGTGTTTATTGAATATCATTGGAAGCCAACAAAGATTAATAATGACCAGGGGTGCCTGGGGGGCTCAGTCAGTTAAGCGTCTGCCTCTGGCTCAGGTCATGATCCCAGGGTCCTGGGATCCAGTCCCACCTAGAGCTCCCTGATCAGCGGGGAGTCTGCTTCTCCCTCCACCCCTCCCCCTGCTTGTGCTCTCTCTCTCTCTCTCAAATAAATAAATAAAATATATTTTTTTAAAGATTAGTAATGACCATAGATATTCCATAGCATTACAAATGAACTCATGGATTTTCTGGACTCCCAAGAAAAACCACATTTTTTTTTTTAAAAGTCTCTCATGGGGCATTCATTTGATGTTTTAAAATAAAAGATGTTCTTCTTTAGATTAGATTAGCCAAGGGGGTCTATTGAGTCTTGCCTTAGGAAATCCTCAGCTCGAAAGCAAAACATTTCATGGTCAATTTTAGTGACCAGATAAAATAAAATCTTGCTTTAGGTAAAACCGTAACTCTATGTTTCCCTCCATCACAAATGAGATTTGTCCTTTAGCTGATGGATAGTAGGTCTGCCTTGGAGTTCCTCCATGAGAAGAGATGCGGCAGACGAAACTCCTAAGACCTGTCTTTCCTACACACCCCTAAAGCACTGCTGGGAAATAAGCATGCTTTTCCGGATTTGTTGAGTGAAGAGGCAAGCATGATATTCCTTTTCTCAAGAATCTTGCACTTCCCATGTTAATAATAATAATTCCCAACTTCTTTATAGTACTGTGTAGTTTTTCAAGTATGTTTGTTTAATCTTTATAACAGTTCTCTGAAGTTGACATCGTTATTATTAACATTCCCCTGTTATGATGATGAACACTGAGGCTCCCTGTGATTATGGGGTTTGCCCAAGGCCATCCAGCTGCCACAGACACTTTTTCTCTCCCCTAGTTCAGTGTCTTGGCTTCTTCATTCTACTACTTGTTTCTATTCTCTGTCGATTCTATATGTAAATGTAGATGTCCTAGCCTCAAGATATTTCCACTCCGATACTGCATTATCACAAGCATAATATGCTCAAAAAAGAACTCAACAATGATCTGTACAGTCCCAAGGGAGTCATCTGTCCTTTATGCCAGGAATTCCAACTGTCACCAGATCTTATCTACTCATCTTTGGAAATACCAGTTTCACTCTTTCCTTCCCACAATCATCACCACTCCGTGAAATATTTTTGAAAGGCAGAGTTCTTGAATTCAGAGTCAAATTGCAGCTGTGGTTGCATGAAGTCAAAACAACTGGTTGATTCAGTGGAAGGAAACGTCAACCATATAATTTGGGGCATCATGTAAACCACTTCTTGACAGTAGAGTTTCTACTTGACAACTGTCTATAGTGGCTTAGGGAGATGCAACCTTAGGAAAAACAATAATGTTTGAACATATGAAACAAAAGGATATATGTGCAGTCCTAGATAAAGACTGCTTGTCTTGGAAGAGCTAGATATCCAGCGAGTAAGATTTGGTTTCTGGGGATCCATTTCCCTGACGTCCTTCCTGAGGCCTCTGACAGCATTGCCACAGGCCCACCATGACAAGCCAGGTGCATCCTCATTGCCAGCCCTATGCTCATTCTCATCTCCATCCTCATCTTCCTCCTCATCATCATAACCAACCAGCCTATTTTTATTTGCCTTTCATGGTGCATGAAGCCTCTTCTAACTTCTGCCTGCCATTCATCCTTGAGGTGCATGGGCTTGCTTGTGATTCTCATGCAGGAATGATACTAATTTCTGGGAATCTGTTGGTAGCGGGGTGGTGAGGTATTCTCAGGCTATCAAATGTACCTACTTAGAGTTCCATTTGGTCCTTTTTGGATTGTGGTACTTGTCAAAAAATCACTCCAGAGCATCCAAAGACGGTTTCCAGTTTCAGGCTTTGCTTGAGTCTAATGAAGCAAATAGATGATAAAGTTCAGCCAGTAGAGTGGGTTGCTGATATTCTCCTGGGAGAAGCCAGGTTTTGAAAGCAGGCTGACCTGACAGTGTTGGTGAAGTTAGGAAACAATCGCTATCATTTCCAATGTATGCTTCAGCCTAAATTAAGTCATATCATCGATCTTTTCCTTAATAGCCAGCCCAAAGCTAGCCTCAAATGCCACATAGCTGTCTAACCAATGCTACCAAGTTGAATTATTCAGTCTGAGCTACTGCTTTATTCTCTGTAAAGCATTTCCATGTACATTACCATGAGAGCCTATGAGTGAGGTTTTGTAGGTATTAGTCTTACCAATTTACAGATAAGGAAACTAAGACAGAGGAAGGTAAATGTGTTACTAAGTGCAGAACAGGGACTTGAGCATATGACACTTCCTTAGGTTAAACTTGAAAACGTGGCATTTTGGAGACCTGTATAGATACTGATGGGACAGAAGTGAGGGGTACTTTCTCTTTGCATGCAGTTTGCTCTGTCATCATCTGAAGAATGTTCCATCTTTTGTTGCTTCAAGTAGCTACCTATTTGTCATTCTCATTATTTGCTACCTGCTCTTTTCTGGAAATACCAAGAGATTTTGGAAGTATTAGAAGTAATGCTGAAGCAACTGGATATGTGGAAAATGCAATGGAACTTAACAGAAGAACAGATCCTTAATGGCCATCACCACCCTATATGATGAAATTAATTCTCTTACATCCTTAGAGTTTTGGAGTTAGTCATTGCCAAGCAAAAGGTCACCCCTCCACCCATTCTAAGGATGGGAATATTAAGGGGTACCTCAGTTGAAAGAGCATGCAATTCAATCTCGGGGTTGCGAGTTCGAGCCCCACACCAAGTGTAGAGATCACTTAAAATTAATTAATTAACAAACTTTTTTTTAAAAAGATGGACATATTAAAGCATGTAAAGTGAAATTTGCTTTCTATGGGTCATTCATTATGGAAGGCCATGTGTCCACAAGAAATGGGACTCCCAACACTGGGTAGTAAATTTCAGTGGCTCCCTTCCTCAGTGTATCATCAAGTTGTCAGGATTCGAAATAATGTGTAAGAGAAACACAGTATCTGCTCCATGAGGAGGAAAGACCCAACGGACATACTCATTTCTCAGAACTACCTACATCCCTGGTTCTCTTTACAAGAAAAACTCCAAGGACTAACAATCCTATTCATTTCTTCACAAGCATCAGAAAAACTCCACCAATCTAATAAGGACTATGTTGCATGGTTACTATGAAGTCAGATTTAGCCTTGCCAGAAACAGGTGATCTTAGATTAAGTGCTAGTCCTACAAGAAGCCAATCCCATCTTCAGGACCTCCTGGGATGTGCTGTAGGAATCTGACCTACGTCTCTGAGAATGGATTTCCATGCTACCCACCGGGAAACCTCTAAAGAGAGAGCAGGCATTGAACTCTGACATATTTCTGGGACACTGGTTAGAGTATAGGGGAACCACACCCCCCAAGGCAGTCTTTAGCACTGTGCCTTACACATGGCAGGAATTCTCTGATGACCTCTGACAAAGGGTTCTTAAATACTAACCCATGAAAACCTCTTTCAGAAATTGATGATGCATTACGTAGCTTTGCTGAAAAAGTATTCGCCTCTGAAGTCAAAGATGAGGGAGGCCGTCATGAGATTTCCCCCTTTGATGTGGATGAAATCTGCCCAATTTCTCATCAGGAGATGCAAAAACACATATTCCACCTGGAGGCCATGGCCACCTCTATAGAAGGCAGGAGGTAAGCGGTGTAAAGGGAATGCTGGGACATTGAGACACAGGAAGCAGAAATGTCAGTCTGTCTGAATGATGGTTCAACATGGAGGAAGAACTGTGCCAGAGATAAAAACTCCTCCCACTCCCCAATACCCCCACCCCAGCACCGTATAAGCTAGGGCAAGTTTACCGATTACTCAGAAGAAGAAAACAGTAGACATCCTGTGCTCATCGCATCTTCCTTTAGTTCAAGCCTCCCTGTCTACCCAAGTAAGAGGATGTGAGCTCCTGGGCAACTGTTCCAAACCACAGTGGGCTGATGGCTGCTGGGCACACACTCAGCTTCCATACCAGGAGTATAGAAACCAGAACTCGAGAGCCTCATCTTTAGGTCGGTTTGAGCCAACCTTAGCACTGTGCTCTCTGATGTGAATATTGCCCTCTGGCCAGTCTGACCTTCTCCAGGCCTCAGGGACACAACCCTCCATTTCTGTTCTCCTGCCCTGGTCATCCTTTTCATTTTATGTTTTTAAGGAAAGAGCAACAATCCACCTTCTTGGGCATGCCCCATAGGACCTATCATAAGTGTCAGGTCAGAGCAGAAACTCAATACTTGTTGATTTGAGGAAGTAATACTAATTAAGCAACTTATAAGTTCCATACACTAAATCTCACCGAATTCCTATAAGGTAGGCATTTTCATATGGGGCAACATGAGCTCAAAAGTTTAAGAACAAACATAAAACGACACATGTAGTGACTGACAAAGCCTGTGCTTATTATGATACCCAGACCCCTATCTGCTAGGAGCTGACTGCCTGTGAAGAACAAGGTCATGCTGAAAGCCTTCTAGCATGTTCCCAAAGGCCCACTGTTCCAAGGGCTACCAGGAAGAAAGGAATACAGTCACGTGATACCTCTTCCCATATGCTTCGATCCTGTTTCTGACACGCCGCTGACATTTTAATTTTCACTTTTTGTCCTCAAAATGAAATTGGACAGTGAAACATCATTCTATCACAATGAAACTCCCAACGAGGCCAACATTAAATCCTTTTATTTTTGCATTTCAAATCCAGAAAAAAACGTTTCCATGAACGGAAGACTGTTAATTTGTCCATTCCCCAATGTGAAACATCATCCACCAAACTGTCCCACATCAACGAATACATTTCTTCATCTCCAACATACCAGACCGTGCCTGATTTCCAGAGAGTGCAGATCACCGGCGATTATGCCTCGGGGGTGAGTTGCTCCCTGCCCCTCAGATGCAGCTGCTGCAAAGACACAGCTTCATTATTTCAGCTTCCTTGCCGTCCTCCCCTTCCTACTGAGAAAGGTGTTAGCTAGCTTGTCCTTGTTCTACTTCCTTATATCCTCTCAACACCAATATGCTATACCTTCTATTTCTGTTTTGCTTTATCATCCCATATAATTCATCCTCCTTCATCTCATTTGCGTGCACATGGAGAATATGTGACAGGAGGCAGTGTGTGTTATGGAATGCGTTAGACAAATTTGGGCACAGGAAATAAGAACAGCTGGTGGGCTAGTCTCGCCGAAGATACCACAAAGCAGGACAGGGAGCCTTGGGAGGCACAGGGGACTCTTGGGAAAAGATGGTCCCAGGGCAGCCCTAGACCTAGAGAGAAGGTAGCATAAACCAGTCAAAAAAAAAAAAAATCAAAAAACAAAAAACAAAAAAACAGATGGGAAGAAAGAGAGGGAGATGAGAGGAGTAGAGAGCCCAGAGAAAAGAAGGAAGATGAGAGACAGGCTAGAAAATTCTAATGGGGCTATTGTTTTGTTTTGTTTTGTTTTTTTGACCAGCGGTCATCTCTGATTTCATTACAGATGCTTACACAGTAGATTATTGCCTGGAATAGACTCTAGTTATGCCACAGGGATCGTAAACTTATGTCACAAACAACTTGACCTGCCTGTCCTATCCAGAACAGTTGGGCAATTAATAAATCTCTGCCACATGGACTTGCAGAATCAGCGTCATATTTGTGAAACTGATGGTTAGCTATCAGTCTGTGCTCCAAATATAGTTTTAATGACCCATCCTAAGCCCTTTTCTCATGTAACTGACCCACTTGGGGTCAGTCCCAAGATACTAAAAGTGACAGAGCAAGGAAACAAACATGATTCTTGTCTGTTCACTTTCTGTATGATAACACTGGTGCTCTGCAAACGGTTGGCGTTTTAGATGGTCAATAACTGAAAGGAGATGTTTACTAGATACAGGGAAAACAAGGTTTGGAGACACCCCACCCCCCGCCCCGGAAGTTAAAAAAAAAAAGCCATAAAAATTGGGAGACAAACTTGATACCTCTGTGCTTGGTAGAAACAAAAATAAAAAGAAGGAAGATGGGAGGGATGACAAGTTCACAGAAATCAGGGAGCAGTGACTAGCTGCTTCTTCTCTGAAAGCTGGAGGGCACATGGAACCATGGCTGGGAGTTTTTGAAGAACTAGGTGTGTTGCTGTACCTGTTGGCTGAATGTGGCTGGGTGATGAGCAAAACCCTACCGAGCTGGAATCTGCCCCATTGGTCTTCGCCTTTGTAATTGAACAGAAAGGTAGGGGGATCAGGACTAAGTTTCCAAGGCCATTAATCCCTGCTAATCAATTGATGCCATTTAATCAGGTCTTACCCAGCACCTACTCTGTACGAGGCATGGTGTGCTAAGTGCAGAAGACACCAAGGTGAATATCTTTTCCAGCTCTTATCCTGGAGAAGATAGACTGGTGGCCTACCATGTGGCAAAGGAGCAAACATGCCGTGTTGGAAGCAGACCCTTAGCTCCACCACCGGAGCCAGACTCTCTTGGCCAATGTCTGCAGACCTTTAAGAAGAGTTCAGCAGATTAGGATCAACATCAGGACCTCAAACCCTGGAAACATGCTCACACTGGTCCCACAAGGCTCATCATCTGATGATGAGCCTTTAGTGATTTCAAGTTATGACTCCCTGGGTGTGCCAGGCCCAACCAGGGGTCGGGGATGGTGCATGGGAGAGGCCAGTTTAGGAAATTTCCAGCAATTCTAGAAAAATGTTACTCTAGAATCTTGCTATTTTTAGCCACAGCCAAAATTCTCTTTAAAGCCATCCAAAAGAGGCTGCCTGGGTGGCGAAGTTGGTTAAGTGTCTGACTGTTGGTTTTGGCTCAGGTCCTGATATCAGGGTCCTAGGATCAAGCCCTGTGTCAGACTCTGTGTCCAGCATGAAGTCTGCTTGAAGATTTTCTCTTCTTCTCCCTCTGCCCCTTCCCACCCTCCCACTCTCTCTCTTTAAAATAAATAGTTAAATCCTTTTTAAAAAGTTAAAAGCCATCCAAAAGAATGGATAATGTTCTGATTCATGTATAACTAAAGAAGGCCGTGCATGTGTGGTGGGGTTGGAGGGATGTGACACTTTATTCGTTCCCAAATATTTCCCTTAGTGACCAAAAAGTAGTTTGAATTCTCAGATTAGAGTCACATGGTCTTTCTGTTGAGATATTGTCTTCAGAAGCCTCTACGTAAAACGTCCTTACCTGGAAGAAAGAAAGTATTCTCCACGTTAGGGAGAATGGGATCTTTTCATCACATTTGCTAGATAATCACTGCTTTCTGGCAAACCCCGCAAATACACACCAGCCTGTATAAGCCAAGACCTGCAGAATAGGTGAGTTTTAGTAGAAATGGGAGAGTTGGAAAAACTTTAAGACCTGCTCCTGGAGGAGGACCGAGGGCCCAGATCAAGCAGGAAGCGGCCGTGTGGGCAGGCCAGCCTCAGTGTGGGCAGCAACAGCCCGGAAGGCAGGCTCGTACCAAAGACAAACTTAACCCGATCCCTGGATTTTCACAGGAGAACTCTGATATTCTGTCATTTTCTTGGCAGGTTACAGTTGAAGACTTCGAAATGGTCTGCAAAGGTCTATACAGGGCATTGTGTATACGGGAGAAGTATATGCAGAAGTCATTTCAGAGGTTCCCTAAAACCCCTTCCAAGTACCTGAGGAACATTGAGGGTGAGGCTTGGGTTGCAAATGAGAGCTTCTACCCAGGTAAGTAGTTTTCTCATGCAGAGTATGAAATAGATCTTTAGGTTTAATTACTAGATATCAAATATGCCCCTAGATTACAGTAGTTTCCCACCCCCCACCCCCACCCTCCCCTCCCCACCCTGCTCCACCCATGGTTTGGCTCTCTGTGGTTTCAGTTACCTGTGGTCAGCTGAGATCCATAAGCAGATGATCCTCCTGATTTATTGTCACGTCAGGAGTGGCCTAATGCTACATCACAATGCCTACATCATGCCCCTCTCTTCATCTCACGTAGGCATTTTATCATCTCACATCATCATAACAGGAAAGGTGAGTATAGGGCAATAAGATATTTTGAGAAGGGTGCCCGGGTGGCTGTCAATTAAGCATCCAACTCTTGATTTAACTCAGGTCATGATCTCAGGGTCATGAGATAGAGCCCAGTGTCAGGTTCTGTGCTCAGCGGGGAGTGTGCTTGAGATTCTCTCTCTCCTTCTGCTCATGTTCATTCTCTCTCTCTCTCTCTCAAAATAAACAAATAAAACAAATAAATAAACAAATAAAATCCAAAAAAAAGGTATTTTGAAAGAGACCACATCACCTAACTTTTATTATACTAAATTGTTATAATAGTTCTATTTTATTATTCATTGTTGTTATTAATCTCTTACTGTGCCCAATTTATACAAATACGAGTAAGGTGGTAGACCAGTAGCCCATCAGTAGGCATGTAAGTATAGGAAAAGACATGGTATATACAGGGTTCAGTTCTAGTCACAGTTCCAGGCATCCCCTGGGGGTCTGGGAACATATACCCTATGGATAAGGAAAGACTCTTGCATAAGTAATCCAGTCTAAAAATATAGTCATCTTTGACTCCATTGTCTCTCCTGCCCACATACACAATTGTAATTGACTCTGTACAATATCTCTCAAAAATCTCCCTTCTTTGCTATTCCCCAAACCCTAAGTTAGGCCTATATTTCTTCTTGTCCAGATTATTGCCAGTTTCTGACCTACTCTGTTAAATTCTAATATCACTCCCTTTTGGTTCATATTCACTTTAGTGCCAATTATTAAAACACAAATCTGAGCATGTCCTTCTCTTAACAAAAACCTTTCATTGCTGCCCATTACCTACAAACTTAAGTCCAGTCTTCAGCCTGGCATTCAAGGCCTACCATCAAATGGCTCCTAACTACGATTTATTTATTGATTTTTTTAGACGTACGCCCTCAATGTATTTATATATTTACCTTATCTACTCCACTCTGTTCTGGTGGGAAGTTCTGGTGGGAAGTGGTTTAGCACTTTCCTGTCCCTTGTCATGCTGTGCCCCGTGCCTGAATAGGGGAAGAGTTCACTTTTTCCCTGAATGTCCAAATGTCTAGATCCAACCACATCCTTCAACGTGCAGCCCAGATACTATCTTTCCTGACTTGCTTTAACCTCTGGATAAATCTAAACTACATATTTTGACTTTCCATAGTCCTTTATTACATATCTCACTGGTTTACTTTCTCCCTTACATAAAGTTCAATACCTATTTTTCAATAGTCAGATTTTAATAATTTCCCAGATTTCTATTATATAACTGTATCATAATTTATTTAACCAACTCTTATTTTTAGGCATTTAGATTTCTGACTTTTAAACTTTATTTCGAGTAAGGCTATCATAAATGGCTTTATGTAAACATCTTTGTGTAACTGCTTTACCTAGTTCAGATTATAATTCTAGGATTGAAATTTCAAGGGAGGCAAATATTAAAGTGTTTCTGAACTTTCAGATCTTTGTATCATTAAAAGATTTCCAGTTTTACAACTTCTTCTCTATAATGCCTTTTAATATTAAAATCATTTTAAACATGTATCCAGTTTGGTAATACATCAAATTGGTTTACCTATTTTTCTATAATATCGACATTTAGGATATCTGTTTTGTCTTTCTTTCTTCTAAATTATGCTTTATCTCTCAGGATGTTTAAGTGTAAAGATTGGAAAATTAAGATTTCACACGGAAACATATTGTTTTATGTTTCTTGTGTTCCTTAGCTCCCAGTTTTGAATAGAAAATGTATGACTTTTTCTTTCTATATTCTTTTCCCTACTCTGGCCATCAGTCATCACTTGCAAACTGGAGCCTTCCTGCTGCCTTGGGCACACACTTGTTGAAAGTAAAAGTCTGAGGGGCACCTGGGTGGCTCAGTGGGTTAAAGCCTCTGCCTTCAGCTCAGGTCATGATCTCAGGGTCCTGGGATCGAGTCCCGCATCAGGCTCTCTGCTCAGCGGGGAGGCTGCTTCCTCCTCTCTCTGCCTGCCTCTCTGCCTACTTGTGATCTTTGTCTGTTAAGTAAATAAGGTCTTTAAAAAAAAAAAAACAGAAAAGAAAGTAAATGGCTAAGTGCATTACAGGCCATGACCACATAGAATTTGTTCACAGCTTTCTTAGGCTGAAATCGTTAGCATGGGAAAGAAGGGGACATCTACCCACAAAATCCCTTCTCTATTCCTTTAGCAGACATTGTAAAATTATAGGTACTTTAAAAGGTGGGTAATACATTATAACAAGAACTATAATTCTTAGAGTAAGAATTTATTTTATATTTCCATTTCTATTAAAACCACTGTAGGTGGAGCACAAAGGGCCTTTAGGGCAGTGAGACTATTCTGTCTGATACTGTAAGCGTGGATACGTGTCATTATACATTTGTCTAAACCCATAGAACGTACAACCCCAAGAGTGAGCTCTAAGGTAAACTATGGACTTTGGGTGATTATGGCCTCCAGTGTACGTTCATACATTTTAACCAACATACCCCTCTGGTGGAGGGTGTAGGTAGTGGGGAAAGCAGTGCCTGTGGGGGCGTACGAGTATATGGGAACTGTGTACTTGGCCCTGTTATGCTATGAACCTGAAGCTGCTTTAAAATGTAAAGTCTATTAAAAAATAACCACTCTAGGGGCACCTGGGTGGCTCAGTGGGTTGAGCCTCTGCCTTCAGCTCTAGGTCATGATCTCAGGGTTCTGGGATCAAGCCCCGTATCGGGCTCTCTGCTCGGCAGGGAGCCTGCTTCCTCCTCTCTCTCTTTCTGCCTGTCTCTCTGCCTACTGTGATCTCTAGCTGTCAAATAAATAAATGAAGTCTTTAAAAAAATTTAAAGAAAAAAAAATAACCACTCTAAATGAAGACTTATAGAGAAAGTTGATTTTATCAAGGAAAAGATCCAAATTCTACTTTTTAACTGTAGTTTGGCTGTTATTTCTATGCAATTATCTCATAAGCTCATAAAATGTTCTAAACAGAAAGCCTTTGATAACCTACTGTAGTAAATAAAATGCTTTGTAAGTAGTATATCAATTATGTGAACAGTTCTTCTTAAGAACTTAAAAATCATTCTTATACTAGAAACAATCTTATAGTTACTTTACACTACTAATTTAGTCACCTTTGGAAAATAATACAAAAATAAACTTTAGCTCAGCACTGGATAATTATAACTTATGACGTACAGGATTCCAAACGAATAAGATCTTACAACGTTTCGTGTTTTGGTTATTTTTATGCAGCCATTTATCGTATTTCTTGATCTATTGCTCTGTGTTTTATTGAGAAAGTCTTTACCCCTCCTGTGAAGAAAGGAGAAGACCCCTTCCGAACAGATGACCTCTTGGAAAACCTTGGTTATCACCTCAAAATGAAGGACGGCATAGTTTACGTCTATCCTGATGAGGTGGCCGCCAGCAAAGATGAGCCCAAGCCACTTCCTTATCTAAATATGGACAGCTTCTTAGATGATATGAATTTTTTACTTGCTTTAATTGCCCAAGGACCTGTGTAAGTGTTTGATGGTGACTGAACTACTATTCCCATCACTACCACCCCCACCCCCACTACTATGGCCACCACCTGTACTACTAGGACTACTACTACTCAGAGTAAGAATGAGTATTTATTAAGTGCTTACTATGTTCAAACATTATGTGAAACCCTTTGTGTATATTTTTCCTCCCTCCTCGCCATCATTCTCTGAGGTGGGTATATTTATAATTGCAGTTTTATAAGCTGAGACTTTGATGAGTTAAGTAATGTGCCCAAAGTTACACAGCTGGCTGAGCCAGGATTCAAGCCCGAATGTGCTATCTCCAAAGCCAGGGCGCTTTGCCTTGAGCAATATTGTCTTACATGGCTTTATTATTATTATTATTATTATTATTATTATTAATTTAAGTAATCCCTACACCCAATGTGGTGCTCAAACTCACAGTCCAGAGATCAAGAGTCTCATGCTCTTCCAACTGAGCCAGCCAGGTGCCCCTCACCCCACCCGGGCCTTTAAATGCCTTCCCAAATCTTCCCTCATTATTCTCTCCAGCTTTGATGAAAAGATTGAGCCCGGAGAGCCCCATATTTTTCAAGTGAGATTAACTGCAAACTGAATGTTCGTTCCAGTAATTGTTTCCAATATGCAATAAGGGTCCTGATGATTTTGAAATTGAGTCTATTTTCTTTAAGTGTCTGAATGTTTCAGAACGATGCTATTTAATTTTTCACAGTAAAACCTATACCCATCGACGCCTGAAGTTCCTCTCCTCCAAGTTCCAGGTGCATGAGATGCTCAACGAGATGGATGAGTTAAAGGAGCTGAAGAACAACGCCCACCGAGATTTTTATAATTGCAGGAAGGTAAACATTGTCACAGGTCTCTGCTGGGCAAGAACATTAACCCAATGTGTTCTTGAGTGGGACAAGAAAGATAGTGTTTCTCTGATTACTGTAAGATTCCTGCAGGTTCGGTGGGTTTAATGAATGCAGATGAGTTACTCTAAAAGGTTAAAATGCCATTTCTATGGTTTTCCACACAGAAAGGTTTACCACATCCTTGCCATAAAAGTTAAGATGATCATGAACAACAAAAATAACAAAAACAAATGAAATCTCAAAAACCGCTACCCGAGGATTTGGAATATCTTTATTCTAGTCCTTTTTCTTCTACTTCCTAATTCTATGATATTGAGGGAGGTGCTTAAATATTTCTGAGTTTCAATTTCCTCATTTGTAAAATTGGAAAATACATCTGCCCAGTCTAGCTCACAAGAGGACTGTGAGTATCAAATGCACTAAGGACTGTGGATAACTAATCAACTTAGAAACATTTCTGAGATGTGTTCTGACCCTTTAAGTGATTGCAAGAGGTAGGGATAGACAATAAACGAGCAGATATTTGGGACCAAATCCTGGCTCAGCCGCCTGTTTAACCATGGATAAATTAATCTTTCATTAATTAATCAATTTAATTAATTAAACATAAATCTAACAAATTTATTATTTTATTAATAGTTAACAAATTAATAATAAATCAATAGATTTAGAATATAAATAATAAAGCAATTATTTATTAATAATTAAGGTTAAATATTAAATTTAATGAATTTATTATTAAATTAATTGAATCTCCAGCTTATAAAATTGTAATCATAAAAATACCTAACTCAGAAATGCTATCACTGGGCCATGGCATCATAATTTCGATCCTTTCTCTCTTTGGGGTGAAGGCTAGGCCAGCTACTTCATTTTGGGGGTGCAGAATGCCCCCAAGAATTTTATGTGGATCAAATAGAGGGAGTAAATTGGATGTACAGATATCCAAAAGAAATGCATATTATTATTATATCCACCTAACCTGTGACATTCTTGCAAGGGTACAAAGAGGTGCCATGGGTTCTTTTCTGCTGGGCACCATAGCCTCTAAAAGAGCGGCACGACTAAGGTTGACTGTTGTTTTTCTTTCTCTGAACGAACACACAGGTGGACACCCACATCCATGCGGCTGCTTGCATGAATCAGAAACATCTGCTCCGCTTTATTAAGAAATCTTACCAGACTGATGCTGACAGAGTGGTCCATAGCACCAAGGAGAAAAATCTGACCCTAAAGGAACTTTTTGCCAAATTAAAAATGCATCCCTATGACCTGACTGTTGATTCTCTGGATGTTCATGCTGTAGGTTGAAAAAGATCATGTCAGTTTCCTGATCCTACTCAGAACCCCGCATGACTTTCTCCTACAAACTACCCCCTTCTCAGAACCCTCTTAACCTGACCACACTGGCTGAAAGCACCCACAGACAATTTTGAGGTTCACTCATTGTCGACTGTTCCGGAATCCATTCTTGGAGACCGACCCTTGCCCCTGTTCCCAGGCCCCCATTCCTGGGGGCCATTCCCTAGCTCTCTATGTCCCATATGTCCTATGTATAATGATACACTTGCACTCCTGTTTCCTGATTCAGGGACGCCAGACCTTCCAGCGTTTTGATAAGTTCAATGACAAATACAATCCTGTAGGAGCAAGTGAGCTACGAGACCTCTACCTAAAGACAGACAATTATATTGATGGAGAATATTTTGCTACTATCATCAAGGTGAGGAGGAACCAACCAGATCTGTGGTACCTGGTCTGGTTCTTAAGGAAAGGGAGGAAGGAGAAAGAGAAGGAGGAAAGGTAGGAAGGAGAGAAGAGGGAAGGAAGCAAGGAGGGAGGGAGGGAAAGGAAGGAAGGAGGAAGTGTGCTATCCCTGGGGCCAAGCACCCCGGAAATGAATATAAGAATTTCTTTGGAAATGTCCACTGTAATGATTTTAAAAGACTTCAATTCCTAGACCAGAGAAGCAAAGAGTGTGGATTTGGGACTGATTAAGGACCCTTTCAGGCTCTGGGAGTTGTAAGCCTGGAAAGGGATGGGATCGGAATTCCCCCTCATCTTCATGGCCTGAGCACTAGGACAGGGAATGACATGGAGGACTTGGGAGATGTGTGTTTTGGAAAGTAGGAGGTATAAGAGAAACTGAATGTCTTTTGCAGGTGCCTTGGAAAGGATGCCTCATCATCTTTTGACTTCTTCACTCTTAGACTCCTTTATGTCTTATCTGTCTCTTACTGATTAGATTCCCCTCATCTCTCAATTTCCTTAGATCTTTTTTTAAAGATTTTAATTTATCTATTAGAGAGAGAGAGCATGCACATGAGAGAGAGAAAGGAGAGACAGCAGGAACAGGGCCAGAGGGAGAGGGAGAAGCAGACTCCCCACTGAGCAGGGAGCCCAGCACTGGCAGGGCTGGATCCCAGGACCCTGGGATCATGACCTGAACCAAAGGCAGGCGCTGAACTGACTGAGCCACCCAGACGCCCCTCAATTTCCTTAGATCTTAACGTGGAACAGTTTCCCTCTGGCTTCCTTTCACATGTGCTCTGTTCTTCATAGTACCTACATCCACCCCCAGACCCCACAGGTTTAGACCCCAGAGGGACTTGAGGGAATTCCTGGCTTTGAACTCCTCTCTTGGCTTCGCAGGAGGTAGGCACGGACCTGGTGGAGGCGAAGTACCAGCACGCAGAGCCTCGCCTGTCAATCTATGGCCGCAGCCTTGATGAGTGGAGCAAACTGTCCAGCTGGTTCGTCCGTAACCGCATCTACTGCCCCAACATGACGTGGATGATCCAGGTCCCCAGGATCTAGTATGTACCTCCCCGTCGGAGCCCCTAAAGCCTGGCTTCATCCCACCTGTCCGACCTCCTCCACATGAACGAGGAATATGCAGTCACAATAAGCTTTGTTATAGCACCGCTCAGAACCCCGTCCTGGGGGCCTGGTTTTGTCCACTCTGGGTTCAGCATTCTTGACCAGAGACAGGAGTTAGGAAGATCATTTCACTTCGGTTCTCTAGCCAGAAGGTTTTCTGGTTTGGTTTTTTTTAAAACACAGGACTTTATGCAACCACAAAATAACTCATTGAGAATATTTAAAACTTAGCTAGGCTAAGAACTATGTCCACTTTATTCTATTTTTTTCTTTCTCTTGGTCTACCTATCTGTGTCCAGCTCATTCTTCCCCACGCTTATCTGGACTGGGATGTAGCTTTCTTGTATCAGAACCTTTACTACCATCTGCTGATTGTCTCATCTACAAGTGCTCAAGTTCCCCATAATCAATGAGTATTTACGGATGATACTACCACCTGCTAATTACTCATTGGCCTCAGGGATGCTCAGTATCATTGATCTTTTATCAAACTTATATTTATTTTCTGGCCACCTGTCCCTGTGTTCTGTGTGCTCTGGTAACACAGGAGTCTTTTCCTTTCTTTTTAGCCAAAAAATTAACCTTGTTGACCGGGGTAGAACTTCCTGTATTATATCATTATAGCAAGGAGGTGGTAGCTATGGTAGTTAGGAGCATGGACTCTGGACCTAGACTGGCAATACTTGAATCCTGGTTCTGTTACTTATTAGCTGTGTGACCTTAGGCAAGTTTCATGAGCTCTCTGTGCCTTTGTTTCATCATCTTTAAAATGGGGGTACCTGACTGTCTCAATGAGTGGAACATACGCCACTTGATCTCTGGGTGGTGAGTTCAAGTCTCACATTAGGCATAGAGCTTGCTTAAAAATTTTTTTTTTTAATAGGGTCATAAAGGTACATAACATATTGAGTTGTTATGATTAAATTCACTAATCTTTCTGGCCACATAAAAGAGTGAATGACATATACTGAGTGGTATATTAGAGTTTGTTAGATTGTCCAGAAGTTTTCTTTTAAAAAATAATTTATTTATTTATTTTTCAGAGGGGGAGAGAGAGAGTGGGTGTGTGGCAGGCAGAGGGAGAAGCAGGTTCCCCGCTAAGCAGGGAGCACAATGTGGGACCCGATCCCAGGGCCCCAGGATCATGACCTGAGCCGAAGGCAGATGCTTAACTGACTGAGCCACCCAGGTGTCCCCAGAAGTGTTTTTAATAACTATTTCATGCTCACCATTTTATACGCCACAAATAAATCACTGAATCTTTTGTGACACAGTTCCTATACTCTTCACTTTCCACCTGGACTTAGTTGTGAAGGTTAATATTTTTGCCACAGAGGGTTTGTAGAAGAGGTGGGGACAACCAGTCCAGCAAGACATTTGTATCTCTTTGCCAGTTCTAAACTGAATCCCTCCTTATGGGTAACCAAGAAGAATGTATCTAGAATGGACCCAGTCTTTTCCTGAACATGGCATGTTGTCCCTTTGATTCCCTCACACAGGGGCTACCAATCCTAAAAATACTTTCTTCGTGAATTCTCTTCATTCTTGCCTCTAGTGATGTGTTTCGATCTAAGAATTTCCTTCCACACTTCGGAAAGATGCTGGAGAATGTTTTCATGCCAGTGTTTGAGGCCACCATCAACCCCCAGGCTCACCCTGACCTCAGTGTCTTCCTCAAGCATGTAAGCATGACCCGTTAGGCCTTCCTGTTGCTGTGCACGAACCAGGACTCCCACATAGCTGTGACTCATTTTTGCTGCTTATCTCTGACATTTGGTCCTGGGCTTTGGGAGCTGAAAGTTTGTCTGAGGACCAGGATCCTGCAGTCAGACTGACCCCATTACATGGCTCACTTTTCCGGACAGATTACTGGCTTCGACAGTGTGGACGATGAGTCCAAACACAGTGGCCACATGTTCTCTTCCAAGAGCCCCAAGCCCCAGGAGTGGACAATGGAAAAGAATCCCTCTTACACCTACTATGCCTACTACATGTATGCGAACATCGCGGTGCTCAACAGCCTGAGAAAGTGAGTAGACGAGAACTGGAGCTAGAAGGAGATTCTTTTTTTTTTTTTTAATATTTTATTTATTTATTTGAGAGAGAGAGCGAGCGAGCACAAAAGCAGGGTGAGGGGCAGAGGAAGAAGCAAGCTTCCTACCAAGCCGGAAGCCCAATGCGGGTCTCGATTCCTGGGACCCTGGGATCATGACCTGAGCCAAAGGCAGACACTTAACCGACTGAGCCATCCAAGTGCCTTGAAGGAGAGGATTCTATCTGACACACCTCTGCTGAGACATTGGTGCCCTGCGTGGTCATCCCACTGCATTGCTGGGATGCCTCTGACCGGCCCAAACCAGACCCTTCTTTCCCTTGTCTTTTTGTTTGGTTTCTTTCTTTATTTAGCAGGACGAATAGACATTTTGGAACCTTCAGTAACTTTCACAGTTCCTTTCGTTGGAAGTTTAGGAATTGATACTAATCTCTGTGTGATGTATTATAGACCTCCATACATGTTGCCCTTCTTGATATACGTGGGTAAGGAGTAGAAGAATATTATAACAGGGTTTTCTGGAAATGTTTCCCCCTCAAAAGCATGAACAGGAGAAATGAGAACTTGGTGATACTGGTAAACTTCCTGTTGAAACTGCAGGTAATCAGATCATGACTAGGTTCCTCCATACCCCAATATTCTCTGCTGCCTCTTTTTTCAGAAGTCTGCGTTCGGGAAGAATAAGATTGTGATTTGGAATTGCCAGTTTCACTGAATCTTTTAGATGCCCCCACTCCCTTTCAGAGTGTTAATTTTTTTTCTACCAGATTTTCTTGTAAATCCCTCCATGTCCAGAATTGCTGCTAGGTCATATTCAGCGACCTGTGGTTACCGTGGCGGTTCCCTTTCTCTAGGGAACGAGGCATGAATACGTTCCTGTTCCGACCTCACTGCGGGGAAGCGGGGGCTCTCACCCATCTCATGACAGCATTCATGACAGCAGATAATATCTCCCATGGCCTGAATTTAAAAAAGGTGAGTTGCAGGCTCTCTTCCGAATATGTTTTATGTTGGACCTAGGGGAGTAATTTTTTTTCCTTATCATTTTGTCACAAGTCATTATCAACACTGGAATCAAATGAAAGCAGAGCAAAAAAAGACTTTTAGGTTATGAAGTGCAGTACATTTTACAGAGACCCAGAGAAGTCAAAGGAGCTGCTCAAAATTACCTAACCAGTTAGTGGCAGGGATGAATTAATGCAGGTCTTCGGCTTCCATTTTAGAACTCTGACAAGGGATAATTCAGAGGCACTTGGCTTACCTTAAGCTGGTTTTTGCCAGATTTCTTGTTATAGCATGTTTCCAAACGCCTCTGGCAAGAGTCAGAACTTTCTCGTAGAGAAAGAAAAAGTGTTTCAAGATGAAGTTTCTTCTCTGAGAGAGACCATCTAACTTAGGCAATTAAAACTCAAACATATGATTTGACCAAATGCTTCTGAAAATTGATGATCCCAAATAAATTTATTCTAAATAGTATTTACATTTAAATACTAGTATTCTTTTTTACTAAGGGATTTAAAGAACATGTGATCGTTTTGTGGAAAGCTGAAACTTGAGGTAGACCATGGGGTTTTAACATTTCTAGTTTGTATCTCTTTTTCAACATCCTTAAATATTGTTTTTCACTATTCCTTTTCAGAGTCCTGTGTTACAGTACTTGTTTTTCTTAGCCCAGATTCCCATCGCTATGTCGCCATTAAGTAACAACAGCTTATTTCTAGAATATGCCAAAAATCCTTTTTTAGATTTCCTTCAGAAGGGACTAATGATCTCGCTGTCGACAGATGACCCAATGCAATTCCACTTCACCAAGGTATGCATGTGGAATCTTAAGCAACACCAGCATATTTGGTGGGACTGTTGTTGCCCACCCAGAATTTTATTTATTTATTTATTTATTTATTTATTTATTTATTTATTTGAGAGAGACTGAGTGAGTGAGTGAGAGAGAACACGAGCGGGAAAAGATCGGAGGGAGAAGGAGAAACAGAGGGAAGAGGGAGAGGGAGAAGCAGACTCCCCGCTGAGCAGGGAGCCCCACATGGGGCTTCATCCTGGGACTCCAGGATCGTGAGCTGATCCAAAGGCAGACGCTTAACCAACTGAGGCACCCAAGTGTCCCTGTTGGCCATCTAGAATTTTAGAGTCTACTCAAGAGATTTCACTGTACTTTTTCTGCTGGATGTGTGTTATTTTTTTTAAATACACTATTTCCTTTTTTTTTTTTGTCTCATTTAAATAAATAATCCAAGGAGCCCCTAATGGAAGAATATGCCATTGCTGCACAAGTGTTCAAGCTGAGTACCTGTGATATGTGTGAAGTGGCAAGAAACAGTGTTCTGCAATGTGGAATTTCTCATGAGGTAGACCTGTCCTTGACTGTTTGCCCTTCTGTGTATGGGATCTGGTAACTGAGTACTGAAAAGATAGCTGGGGAAACACATGTGAAAAAATTATCCCACAAATCATATGCTGTTACTATGGACAGAGACTAGAAAGAAGTCTTCTATCTCTCTGGCTCTGCCTTTGGTGAGGCAAATAAAATACACTTGACTTCTCAGCAGACCATGAGCATTGAGGCCCTGGATGAGTGCTTTGAATGGTCTGTAAGTAAGTAAGTACTTTTGTCAGTAAGTAATGCAAGGAAGGAATCTTTGTGGAAGATGTAATTATAGTCTATATCAGGATAAAAAGACAATAATCATTCTGTTTCCTTTTCTCTTACAGGAGAAAGCAAGGTTTCTGGGCAACAATTACCTTGAGGACGGCCCTATTGGAAATGACATCCAGAGGACAAATGTTGCCCAAATCCGCATGGCCTATCGCTATGAAACCTGGTGTTATGAACTCAATTTAATTGCTGAGGGCCTTAAATCAGGAGACTAAATTAAATAAACCAAATAATAATATGGGTGAGATTTTCATTGAAGAATACGAATCATAATAGTTACCAGTTATTGAATCCCTGCTATAAGCCAATGATTGCTCTAGATATTCTTCCACTGACATTATTCACTTAATCATTTTCACTTTATGAAGTAGATAATAATATCTTCATTTGGGGGAGATGAATAAACTGAGGCTAGTGAAGTTAATAACCTGCACAAGGACACATTTGTTGAGTGGTAGCAGTGGGCACATGGGTTTGTCTGACTCCAGAGTCCCTATGACTTTCAGGCAAAACATTTGCTCACAGTTGCTCATATTTTTGCCCCACCTTAAAAACTATTAATTACTCATAATAACTTGAAACAGGGCAAAAATTTGAGCTAATGACTTGTGGTTGGGAGGATGTAGGCTTTTGGTTTATAGAATGAAATTTGCTTGAAACATGTAGACCATTAAAATATCCTTTTGACAGGATGTGACAGAAGTCTGGCATTCTTAGACAAAAACATATGCTGCCCAATATAGAAAATCCATACTTATGAGCTATTTCACTTCAGGAGAACTTACCTTACAAAAGGATTCTTAGTTGTAAGGACGTACTTGGCAATAAAGTTATAGTCAGCTGTCCTTGTACATTTTAAATAATTCCACTTACCAAAATAAGATACACATGTAACTGTTTAGAAACCTGCCTGTTACTCAAGGCCAGCCAGGTAGAATTCCTATTAGCTAGACCATACCTCTACACATACAACTGTGTTGCCACCTAGTGGCTGGGCTGATAGTTCATTTGATTTATTAATAAACCGTTGATCAAACAGCTCAAATATCAGGCTCTATTTAGGCAGCAAAGTTATAAAGAATAAGATTTCATTCCTACTCTCAAGTTGTTTACAGTGTGAAATGATAAGATGTGTGTGGATACAAATGTGAAAAAGAACATTTTGTGAAACATCTCAGAAAGTAATGACTTTTCAAATGGAAAAAAAAAATTAAAGGCAAATTCCTGCATGTTTCCACATTCTATACTGGTCGCTGTAAGCATGGGTGTGATCCTGACAGCGTGTTTATACTAGCCCTAGTGTAAGAATCCTCTCCTCGGTTTCTGAGGTTGAATTTCTGTTTGCTGAGTATATTTGTTAAGTCCCTTAGAGAACCTGATTTTATTTTACTTTGTTCTCCATGTCATTAAAATAATACAGATTGCTAAACTAAACATTCTATTCTTGAACTTAAAAGGCATTAACTAGCATTAGTTATATTTCTATCTTACCCATGAGAGGGCAGTAGAATACATACATGTTAATTCCTTTATTACAGCCACAGAACCCTTGCCAGGTTTGGTTTCCTATCTGGTACTTGGAATTCAGTCGGCGTCATTTTGCCAAATAATCTTCTTGAATGCAAAGTTTGGACTCTGAAATCAATTTGTATTTTGAAATAAGTTGTAAAATCATACCGTTCTAGCTTAAAATTTCGTCTTAGACAACTGTTTGGGAAGTTTTCTAAATATAGAAAGACTTGGGGAAGGTGAGAGGGGTAATCCATGAAGATCACCATTCAAAATTTATGCAAACAATATTGACATTTATTTCCTCACCAAGATATGATTTCTAAAATGTCTTGTCGTTACTTTTTTTTTTCCCCACCATAAAAGGTAATTCCTGTTTGTCCACAGCTCACTATTTCACAACGGTGTGGGATATGCAGCTTTCACTGCCTTGGCTAAATTGGCTTGTGACAGTCATCTGTGATGTGTAACCAAACACCTCTCTTTCTGGCAGTCTTCTATTTTGGTACCTCTCTGCGAACAGATGTGGGAAGATTTTGGTCATCAGACCCAAGAGGCTGGGGCGGGGCGGGGCGGGGTGGGGCGGGGCGGGGTGGGGTGGGGTGGGGCGGAATGGGGCGGGACGAGGTGGGTTGGGGTGTTTAGCTAGTGCTGGGAAACAGGCTCAACTCCTCCCGACTCTCAGCCTTAGTGAAACTGGGCTGCCGCTCGCAGTAGGCACAGCGCCACGCACATACCTGAGTACGAGCGTGTTGCAGGCGTAGAGCTTAGGCCCGTGTGTCACAACAGGGCGTGGGGGCCGACCTCAGGCACTGGGAGTATCAAAGGCACCCTGCTCTGGGACTTCAAACCTCAGGTGTTCAGAGCGTTATTTGCATCTACGTTTCACTTTGGCACCGGACTGCAAATGCAGTGGCAAGAGAGAATTTCATGCTTTCCTTGACGGAGATGCCATCTGGATTCCTCGCTTAAACTAGAAAGAGTCAACCTTCATGTAAAATTCAGGTCCATCACCGTGGGGCCAGTAGGACCGCAGGCACGGCAACTGCAATGGGACTTCGGCTAGAGGCCTTGGCCGGAGTCCGGGTCACCAACTTCTGGGGCAAGGTTCTAGTCCAGAGTCTGACTCCAACAGGATCTATTCCCTTCTCGACGGTTTTCGGGCGGTGCCGGGGGCGGGCCCTAGCGTGAAGGGTGGGAAGAGGAGCCAATAAGAACCGAGCTTTGCCGGGCGGGGGTGGGGCCGCTGCCGGCCGGGGGCGGGGCCTTCGCAGGGCCTGCGGGGGCGGGACGGAGCCAACCCGGAGTGAGAGCGCCGAGACCTGGCGCGTCCGGGGAGAGCCGGAGAGCTTCGCAGCCCGGCCGCGGGGGCGGCGTGGAGACCCAGGGCAGGTAGGCGCGGGGCGATCCGGGGCGGGCTCGGAGGCGGGGGCCTCGGTCCCTCGTGGCAGTGGACGTCGCATGCTGGGCGTCCGGAGTCCGGCTGGCAGTGCGGGAGCGGGCCGGCGGAGGTGTCGGCTCCGCAGTCTGAGCTCCTCCCCGGCCCCGAGGGACGCGCGAGTTGTCGGACCCTGCGCCCCGTGACATCGAGTCCTGGGAGCCCAGCTCGTAGGCCCGGCGGCTGTGGAGGGGCCCGGCGGGGCATGTCCCCGCCACTCACCTCGGGGACGGGGGACGTTGGGCGCTGGGCAGTCTTAGGGCAGGGAGAGGGAGCGCCCGGTCGCGGAGGAAGCGCGGGGCTATCGCCCTCCGGGGCTATCGCCCTCCGGGGCTGGCCAGGGAGCTTGAACGTCGACAGGTTCAGAAGATGGACTTTTTATTAAACATTCTTGCTTTTTGTGTGTTTTGATTCATAACAGAATCTGATGAGCACAGCATTGAAAGTTGTCCAGTAGGATTTTGATGTTAAAATTGGACAATGGAACATCTAAGAACTTTTGAGTAACGAGTATAGCAGATGATGATTAGATAATGAGTCAAGGGCTGGAGTCTCGGCCAGGACCCACAGAACAGATGTGATACCTCGGTCAAATCGACTTTTCTGGGCTCTGTTTCCTTAGCTGTAAATCTGGGATGTTCATGCTTAGGGGTACTCTGAGGGTCAAAGGAGATTAGTGAGAGTAGTCTGTAAATGTTAGGTATTGTAATTTGCGCACCAGCGTTAAGCATATTCTGTAAAGCAACTACTAAATGCCAGGCACATAGTAGGCACTCTGTAAACCTTTACCCCGAAGCTAGTGATTCACCTCCAGTGTTTTAGATAAAGTCCTAAATCTCTGTTTACTTAGTAAATAAATTGTTTAAGCTCCCCCCACCCCAACAAAATCACTATTGTTTGAAGTGTGGTCCATTTTTTAACTGATCAATGAATTTTTCTAGAATAGAAAATATTATCTACATATTGTTACTGCATTATTTATCATGAAGTTCAGTACCAATCAAATAATCTACTTTTTTGCTTTAAGTAAATAGTTATAGTTTAAGTTACCTGGTAAGGTAAGCTGGGAATATTGCTTCAGATCTAGACTTTCATCTGCTTTTAGTAAAAAACTTAGTAAATTTTTAGTCCTTCAAAACAAAATTAATATGTAGCTGTATTTTTTTTGTACAACCTTTATTGTAGACATGCACATTCTTTTCTATTGGTATATGAATGTATGTGGGGTTTTAGGGGGAGAATGGAAATAAAAAAGAGAATAGCAGTTTGTAACCAGCAGACTTTCACTGGGGTTACTTGTAGGCGTGTTCTGAAGTAGTTTCCCAGGCAGAAACCAGGAAATGTAGTAATTGTGTCTCTTGGCCTTTCGTTGGGGTTGTTTTTTTTTTTTAATATTGACTGTGGCAATAGATTTTTTAAAATACAGATATAAAGGAAGAATGTTAGTTTTTTTTTATGTGAAAAGAGACTTTTCTAAACCTGGAAATTGTGGTTTTTTTAAAAGATTTTATTTATTTATTTGACAGATCACAAGTAGGTATAGAGAGAGAGGAAGGGAAGCAGGCTCCCTGCTGAGCAGAGAGCCCAATGCAGGCCTCAATCCCAGGACTCTGCAATCATGATCTGAGCGAAAGGCAGAGGCCCTAACCCACTGAGCCACCCAGGCACCCCTGGAAACTGTATTTTAAATGATCTGTCTTATACCCAAGAATTTTAGACCACTGGATACTAAGAGCAAGTCAAATGGAGTAGAGGTAAAGTTCCTAATGAATACAATTTTTGTATTGCTTTAAAAGTTTTACGTTTAAGCAGTTCAGTGGAAGATAGGTGTTTTGAAACTACTTAAAGTATTATTTTAAATACGTACTCCATGTATAAATTTTGCTATAGCTTATAGTTTGTTCATGTTGGAGGTCTAAGCCTTACAGTTGCATTATTTATTGAGCACCTATTATATTCCAAGGCACAGTTTTAGTACTTCCATAGAATTTGTGTATGAGTAGAATACAATTCCTTCCTTCTGGGAGGTTAACACTACCGAGTGGGCTAAAATAAGTAGCAAGAAAACTGTTTTTAAAACTGGTGATAACATGAATCAGCATTTATTGGGACCTCTTCTGAACCAGGCAGTGTTCTAAATTCTTTACGTGCATTAGTTTATTGAGTCCTTACCACAGCACCATGAGGGTTATCGTTATTTCTGTGTCCTCACTAAGAGATACAGAGGTCAAATAATCCCCTATCAAAGAGCCTAGGCAGGAGGGCTAGCATTCAGACCAGGCAAACTCCAAAAATCCTAATCCTAACTTTTGCATTGTATGGAGTTTCATATTCTGTGAGTGAAATACCAATAAAACCCAATGTGTGTTTAAGAGAGTTCTGTAAAGAACTTCTTCAAAAAGAAGGAAAGAAAGAGACATAGAGAAAAAGAAACTGCTATTGCAAGATGTGGATGGAGGTTTGTCCAAGCTACAATTTAATTATACTTTGTATATAAGAGCATTTTTCCCCCTCTGGTGAATGACAGGATTCTTCTTGTTTCTAAACTCTCCATCACTCAGTTACTGCAATTATGGCATTATCTTCATAATAGAAGAAGTGGTTATTTTTCAATAAGAAGTTTACAATGTCTGTACTCAGACCATAAGTTAAATGTTAGATTAAGAAAAGAAAATGCTCTCCTGGTGGCAAGAAGCTAATGACCAGACATGTAAATAAGTCCCTACAATTTCAGTGTGATAATAGTTTTAACAGAGATAGAGATAGAATTCAGCGGGGACAATGATGAGGGGAAATAATTCTATGTGTGATAAGGAGGAAGATTAGAGAGAAGATACCATATTTGAATCTGGCTTTGAGAAAAGGATAGGAGTTAACTGAGTTGGGGAAGGAAACAGAAGATGTGGATGAAAACAGGAATATTACGTGAAAGTATATGGTATTTGTGAGGAATATGTTGTAGTTTATTGACTAAAGGTCAGAGTGTGGGCCCCTCAGTAGCTCAGTTGGTTAAGTGTCTGCCTTTGGCTCAGGTCATGATCCCAGGCTCCTGCAGGAGTCCCATGTAGGGCTCCCTGCTCAGCAGGGAGTCTGCTTCTCTCTCTCCCTCCCTCTGCCCCACCCCCCACTCCTGCTCACTCACTCTGTCTGTCTCTCTCTCTCTCTCTCTCTCAAAAATTAACCAATCAATTAATTTTAAAAAATCTTAATGTCTATTTAAAAAGAAATAAAGGTTAGAGTGTATGGAGATAAGAGGTTGGGCTAAAGGGGATGGTGCTTGGAAATAAACTGGCAAAAGAAAATTTCTGAACTTGACTGCTAACCAGGTTAGGATCACTGAAATTGCTAGAAATGAGGTAAGCATGGGGTTTCAGTGCCTCTCATTTGGAATAATGAAGGTCTATCCAGTTTGGCAAAATTGTTCACTATAGAATGTGGTATTAAAGGTAGTTTTAATACTTTGAAATGCAGGATGTGTTATAGAAGAACATATGGAGGTAGGTAAGTAAAAAGTTACGACTCAGAAAGAGAAAAAAGAAGTCTGCTAGTGCCACACAGTGAAGAGCTTGTGGATCATGCTAGAACTTTGGACTCAATTCTAAAGACAATGGAGAGCCAGTGGGGGATTTTAGGTAATGAAGACAGATAACATGGCGGTATGGGACAGAGGCTGGATTGCACAGAGAGAGGTAAAACATAGAGAGATAAGTTAGAAGGCTAACAGTATTGAAATAGTCCAGATAAGAGAGGATCAGGGCCTGGAGTGGGAAAAATGTAACAGAGGTGAAGAGGAGAGGACAGGATAATGAAGATGTAGAATTTACAGGGCTTAAAAAGTGATTGGCTTTGAAGGTGAACAGAAAAGTAAATGACTTCATTTTTTTAGCCTGGGAAACTGGATAGAGGAACTTGTTCTGGGTTTTTTTGTTTGTGTGTGTGTGTGTGTGTGTGTGTGTGTGTTTTTGTTTTGTTTTGTTTTGTTTTAATGTGGGAGGAAGAGCATTGTTTCATTTAGAGCATGTTGAGTTTGAAGTGTCTTGGACACTTCAGGTGGAGTTGCCAGGGGAGGGTCCAGAGCCTCCAGTCTCAGGAGTGAGGCTGAGATTGGTGATTCAGATTTCAGAGTTAGCAAGTAAGTGGTAATTGGAGGCTTAAGAGCAGATGAAATTGCTCAGGAAGAGCATATGCAACTAGAAGAGAAGAGGGCCAGGGATAAATGGTTTGCTTTGTATGAGTGGAAGGGATTACTGATTGATTGATTGTTGCTAATTTTGTCTTATAACTTGTGATTATAAATCAATAAGATGGGCTTTAACTGAAGGTTAAGCAACTTTTACAACCCAGTGAATCCTGTTCTTTTAAACTTTTTTTGAGGGCAGGGGTGCCTGGCTGGTTCAGTTGGTGGAGCACGCAACTCTTAATCTCAGGGTTGTGAGTTCGGGCCCCATGTTGGGTGTAGAAATTACTTCAAAATAAATTATAAAAATAAATAAAAAGTGAATAAAATAAAATTTTATTTTGGAGTCACTCATTTATTCCAAAAGAGTATTGCCCGAAATATTATTGGAGTTCCTCTTTGTAAAAAAAAAAAAAAAAAAAAACTTTATAGCATATTCCCAGCCACACAAGAAAGTAGATCTTCTAGTTTTATTTTTCCTCCTCTGTACTTACTTTTTTTGTTGTTGGACTCAGGACTGAGATCAAGACCTGAGCTGAGATGAAGGGTCCGACACTAAACTGACTGAGCTGCCAGGTGTCCCCCACCTCTGTACTTTCAATTTCCATGCATATATAGCCTATTTCTCTTTAATCAGAGCTATGAAAACAAATGACTATACCCTCACGTGGTTGGAAGTCAGAGAATGCTTTTTTCCAGAAGAGATCTTCGCTTCCGGTAAATATATAGATTATTAATACATGTTTGTTGGTTGATTCATCTTGATAACCAGTCTTA